AAAGAATAAATAATTCAAGATAATAATATTAAAAAACTCAGTGAGATACAAGGAACACAGTAAACAATACAAAGAATCAGGTAAAATTATGATCAGAATGAGAATTCAACAAAAAGCTAGATATCATAGAATAACAGAAACCTAGAACTAAGATATGATGAAATAAAAAATATAATTTAAAAGTATCAACAATAGACTAGATCAAGCAGATGAAAGAATTCTGAATTTGAAGACAGAAGACAGGTCTTTTGAAATAACCCAGGAAGACAAAAAAACGGGGGGATAACGAAGTGAAGAAATCCTGCATGACATGTGGGACACCATAAAGTAACCTAATATTTAAATTTAGGGGATTCCAGAAGAAGAACAGATGGGAAAAGACATAGAAAATCTATTTAACAAAATAATAGCTGAAAACTTCCCAAGTCTTATAAGAGATCTAGACATCTAGACACAGGAAGTTTAAAGATCCCCAAATAGATTCAACCCAAAAAGATCTTCTACAAGGCACATTACAGTCAAACTGTCAAAAGTCAAAGACAAAAAGAGAATTCTGAAAACAGCTCAAGAAAAGTGTCAAGTCACATTAAAGGATTCCTCATCAGACTAACAGCAGGTTTCTCCACAGAAGCTTTACAGGTCAAGAGAGAATGGCATAATATATTCAAAGTGTTGACAGTGCTAAAACAGAGAAATGTCAGCCAAGAATACTATAGCCAGCAAAGCTATGCTTCAAAAATGAAGGAGAAACAAAGTCCTAGACAAGCAAAAATGGAGGGCATTCATCACCTTAAAAGAAATGCTTGTGGGAATCCTACATCTGAAAGTGAGATGATAATATCTACCCTTATAAAAATATGTGAAAGTATAAAACTCACTGGTAGAGCAGATACATAAATAAGAGAAAGAGGTCAAATATTATCACTATAAAATAACCCAGCAAATTGGAAAGATAAACAATAAAAGAGGAAGAAAAGAGCAAAGCATATATAAAACAATCAGAAAACAATGAACAAAATAACAGGAGAAAATCTTTACCTATCAATAACAACTTTGAATGTAAAATGCTTAAATTCACCAAATAAAAGAAGCAGACTGGCTGAATGGATAAAGAACCAAGGCCCAACCTATGCTGCCTATACAACAAACTCACTTCACCTGTAAAGACATACATAGACTGAACGTAAAGGAATGGAAAACATATTCCATGCAAACAGTAACCAAAATCATGAAAGAGTAGATATACTTATATTAGACAAAATAGACTTTAAGTCAAAAAAATTCAAAGAGACAAAGAGGGTCAGCACATAATGATAAAGGTATCAATTCAACAAGATAAAGCAATTATAAATATATATGCACTCAACACTGGAGTGCTAGATATATAAAGCAAATATTATTAAAACTAAAGCAATAGACCCATTATAATAATAATTAGGGAGTTTAATACCCCAATTTCAGCACTGGACAGATGATCTAAACAAAATCAACAAAGAAACACTAGACTTAATACATACTACAGACCAAATGGGCCTAACAGACATTTCATCCAACAGCTACAGAACACACATTCTTCTCATCAGCACATGGAATATTCTCCAAGATAGACCATACAGTAAGCCACAAACAAGGGTCAACAATTTTTTAAAAATTAAAATCGTATCAAGTATCTTCTCAGAATGGAATGAAACTAAAAATCAATAACAAGGGGAACTTTGAAAATTGTACAAATACATAGAAATTAAACAACATTCTCCTAAATGACCACTGAGTCAATGAAAAAATTAAGAACAAATTGAAAAATTTCTTGAAACAAATGAAAATAGAAAAATGGCATACCAAAACATATGGAAAACAGTAAAAGCAGAGCTAAAAGGGAAGATTACAGCAATAAATGCCTATGTCAAAAAAGTAAAAAGACCTCAAACAATCTAATGATGCAACTCAAGAAACTTGAAAAACAAGAACAAACCAAACCCCAAATTAGTAGAAGATAGATATGATAAAGATATGAGCATAACTAACTAAATATAGGGACTAAAAAATACAAAAAAATCAACAAAGCAAAAGTTGTTTTTTTTTCAAAACATAACAAAATTGATAAACTTCTAGCTAGACTAACCAAGAACAAAAGAAAGAAGACCCAAATAAATAAAATCAGAAACAAAGCAAGAGATATTACAACTGATACCACAGAAATACAAAGCAAAGAATCTGAATAGACATTTTTCCACAGAAGACATACAAATGACCAACAGGTATATGGGGAAATGTCCAACATCAATATTCATCAGGACAATGCAAATCAAAACCACAGTGAGATTTCATCTAACCCCAGTTATAATGGCTATTATCAAAAAAGACAAAAAATAACAAATGTTGGTAAGGATGCAGAGAAAAGGGGACTCCTACACATTGTTGGTGGGAATGTAAATTAGTACAGCCATCATGGAACACTGCATGGAAGCTTCTCGCAAAGTTAATAATAGAACCACCATATTGTCCAGCAATCCTACTACTTAATATTTATCCAAAGGAAAGGAAATCAGTATATCAAAGGGACACCGGTAACCCCATGTTTATTGCAGCACTATTTACAATACCAAAGATATGAAATTAATCTAAGTGTTCATCAATGCATGAATGGATAAAGAAATTGTAGCATATATGCACAATGGAATACTAGTCATCCATAAAAAAGAATGAAATCCTGTCATTTGTAGCAACCTAGATGGAACTGAAGGTCATTATGTTAAATGAAATAAGCCAGACACAAAAAGACAACTATCACATGTTCTTGCTCATACATGTGGGAGCTAAAAAAGTGGATCTCACGGGATCTCATGGAGTTAGAGAGTAGAATGATGGTTACTAGAGTCTGTGAAGGGTGGGGGAGGGGATGAAGAGAGGGTTAATGGGTACAGACATACAGTTAAAAGGATTAAATTCTAGTGTTCAATAGCACATAGTTAAAGATTTATTATATATTCCAAATAGTTAAAAGAGACCGTTTGAAATGTTCCCTACACAATGAAATGATAAATGTTTGAGGTGACGGGTTTACTAAATACCTTGATTTGATCATTATACATTGTATGCATGTATCAACATATCACAGGTACTCCATAAATATGTGCGATTATTATATATCAATTTTTTAAAAGCATTTGGAAGACTATACACCCATTTGTTGACAGCAGTTACCTCTATGTGGTGGCATTTTGTTTAGTATTCATAATTTTCATATTAAACTTTTGCCTATATTTATTCATATTTTCCAAAAACTTATAACAAAATGTATTATTTTGTCAAGAGAAAAATACCCATTTCCATTGTCCTCATGCTTTTAAAAGGTCTGTATGTTTCTCATATCATTTTGCTTTTCCTATGAGCCGTCCAAAATAGGCAGGCTAACATTTATTCTTTTTTTTAATGAATGAAAAACAGGCCTAATGAAATGAAGTGACATGCTCAAGTTCTCACAGTAAGTTATTACAGGAATTGATATTAAAATCAAGGTGTCTGGGTTTCCATTACAATTCCGTTGCAACTCTCCCTGTTCCATCTTGCCTCCTCCTAGCTGGTAAGGAATGTTCACACTCTTGACACCCTTCCTCCAAACAAAATCAGTGCTGACAAAGGAGCTTCTCCATAGGCACCAAAAAGGCTCACCATTTCAAAGATACACCAGTCCCTTTCTTTTCATACCAGAAGTAATCTAGGCATCCCCTGATGAGGAGGGCTATTAGTGATACCTAATAAATGAGGTTCTCTGGGAAGCCCCAAGAAGTGATGCATGGCTAACAGCTGGTAACAGCCCTGCTGGAACATGAAGTCTGGCTCCACTTCCATGGGTTATTTTGTCATTCTTTCTTTCTTCAATTATTTGTTCCTATGAGACAGAAAATTGATTCAGCTGTCAGGGAGCAGAAATGTCCCTCGACTCTCAGGCCCAAAGATATGCTGGGCTGCCTTTTTTAATCCCACTTCTGAGAACATAGAAAGAGTACACTTTGGTGCTTTTTTTTTTCATTACTATGGGTACATAATAGTTGTATTTCTGTGCACCTGTGTATGTTTGTGTGTGTCCCTGCTTTGGGGTCATGTGGCTAATCCTGGCCAATTGGCTGTGAGTGGCAGTGATATGTTTCATTTCTGGTCCAAAGAAACAACAGTGAGGACCAGCGAGACCCTAGGTCAGCCCCTGTCTGCGTCAGCAACCATGCAAGTGGGTACTGAGATAGAGGTGCTGTGCTGTCAAAGCAGCCTTTATCATTGAGCCACCCCTTGGAGGAATCTTCCAGACTCACACCCATCATTAGCAAAAGGAAAAACAAATGTTTGCATGTTAAAGATACTTAAACCCGGCATTGAGTTTCACAACACAACTAGCGTACCTTGACTCATACAAGTTCTTACTCTAGGCCAGGCAGTGTGCTGGGCACTTCACATCCGTCGTCTCGCTTACTCTTCCAAACAACCTGATGAGTTGGATTCCATGATAGTTCCACTTCCCTGATGAAGAAGCAAAGAGAGGTTAAGTAACTTGCCCAAGATCACACAGCGACTAAGTGCTGGAACCAGGATTAGAACCAAGATTTGACTCCCAAACTTGCACTCACCACACTGCTAGTGTGGAATGGAGATAAAAGAAAAGAAGGAAATCAAAGCTGATCTACATAATAAAAAGCTGAGTCAGGAGAAGGAGAGAAGAGGGAGAACAAAAGAGCCTTAAGGATTAGGGTTGAGAGAGAGATTTGAAGATTAGAGTGGAAAAGAAGGCACCTTTGGGAAAAAGGCCTAAGGCATCAAGTCCCAAAATAATGTTCAACAATTTAACTACACAAGGAAAAGTATCTCAGGGGTAAAAAAAAAAAAAAGCTAGTAGTTCTCCCAACTGAATTACATTTATATAAATTGAGCATCTCACAATCACAAGGAGTACAGGAAAGTTTTGCCTATTATAACATAAATGCTAAGAACAATTACCTATTTTTCTATCAGGTGTGAGAATGAGCCATTTTTCCTCACAAAATATCTTACTTCCAATGACTATCTAGATGTGAATCTTCATAGAAACCCAACAATAATTTCAGAAAATTTTTATAGATGAGTTATTTGTTTAGAATGTAATCTGGTCTGGCGTTCCATCAGATGGTGAATTAAAGAACCCAAAGCAATAATATCAAACCAGAGTGATCACAGCAGACCTTAAGATACCAAAAAAGTGTGGCCACTTTTAAGAAATTTTTACAAGATACAAATATAAACAGACATCCCCAGAAGTTAATAAAAACGTATATCTAAATCTAAAATTTCTATCAGTAAACATGAAAGATGATTCTCCAGTAAGTTAATATTCACATTTCCTAATAATGTCAGAAAATATCTACATATATACGTACTTATATAATAACATTTTATTATGCTTTAAGAAAATCTAATTGGAAGAATCAACATAAATACGCCATTATTAATACAATATTTCCAGAGTTTAACTCCTCCTGAATACTGACCATGAAAATATCTATTTTAATTTGACCCAAAACTGTGGCTTTGTTTTAGAATTTATAGGACTTTGTTTCAATTTCTTAACTTGTCACAACTTCAGAATCCACTTCCCTCCCTGTCTTACATTTTCATTTTTGGTTTTAATTTCCTTCCCTTTCCAGCCATATAGTCTTCATGCTTTTTGAGTCAGACTCAGGGCTGGACTTCAGCAAAAGACAAAGCACCCCACTAGAAGAGATGGGGTTAGCTACGCCTCTACACACGTACATAAATGCCCTAAGGAATAAACATACAAAAACTGAAAAATGGGCTGTCATTGACGAGACAGTTGCAAAGGTTGTGATCATTGTGCACAAGCACTCTAAAATGATCCAAACTGCTTGATGTCTCACATATTGTCACCTTTTTTAAGCAACTGAAAACCAAATAAAAAAATAAATCTTGGGAGAGATCCAGTAAAAAAAAAACGGCAACCCACCATCCTCCTTTCTCACCTCTGTCCCACGCACAATTGTTACTCTGATTTGATTTCTCTGGGATTCCCAACACACACCAAGCCTGCACGTATTCCTGTCCCTTTGCAAATGCTGTTCTCCCTGAATCTTCTTCCTCCCCACAGCCCACATATCCATGAGAGCTGGTTCAAGTGCCACCTCCACCATGAAGACCCCGTGAAATTTCAACCCACTAGGATTTCTCTTCTTAATTTCTATTGCTCTAATCTTCTTTTATCACATACTTACAATGGGGTTATTCTATAAGCATTTCTATACGCTTAGTCTTGTTCCTGCACCTACAGAACACCCTGCTTAGAACCATCTCTTATACATCGGTTTTATTCCCCGGCGTATCTAGCATAATATTGATCACATAGCAGGGGCTCAGTTTTAATGCGTTGTTTGGATAATTATGTGTATTTATAAAATATAAATGGAATGAAAATGGAATATTGAAAATGGAATAAACAGAAGCTTAAAAATTAAAAATCCAGTTTCCTCAACACAAGCAAATATTGATCTTAATTGTGACAAATCCAGCACCAATGACCTGATTAGTCATTTAAAAATCCATAAATATTTTAAAATATCCATCTCATCTAGAAGGGGACAAAAGGTTACAGCCTCAGACTGATAGTGACCTACTAACGCATTCTCTGGAGCAATGTGGATTGGAAAAAGCAGCTCAAAAGTCATGCCCAGACTGAGTTTCTTTATGGGGAAACTAGTGTGGAAACGAAGACTCCGCTGTTGTAGTAATATTGATTTTCTGGAATACTTGGTTTCGGTAGTACCGGCTTTTGTCCATTAAGCAGCAACCATTGCTGAGCATGTCAAAAATTCTGAGACCCCTAAATTAATGTGCTTTCATGAGAAATTATTTTATTGAACAGGAATCAAACTCTGAAAAGAAGTTCAATGTCCAACAATATGAGAACAGGTAATAAAAGTAGAGGACACTATTGATATCTTTCTTCCCCTCCTTCTCCCATGGAGTTGCTGGTGCGCGGCTTGGGCAGAATTTTCCCCAGCCCCAATAAAAGCCAATCTGCATAATCTCATCCCCCAGCTCCGAACTTCTCACCCCTTGCTACAATAATTCTGTTAGTTGTGGGCAAAAAACCCCCAGCTAATCAGTTCATGGCACTCCCTGGCTACAATGACTGGTTTAAGTTAGTCCGACAAGAGTGAAAGCAGAGCTTCTGTTTGATAATTTGGGGCAAAGATCTCAGCCTGGAAAGTCCAGTGTTATGAACTGAATTTCATGCCCCCCAAAACTGATACATTTAAGTCCTAACCTCCAATGGGATTGTGGTATTTGGAGATGAGAACTTTGGAAGGTAATTAGGCTTAGATGAGATCTCTCGGGCCCTCATGATGGGATTAGTGGCCTTATAAGAAGGAACACCAGAGAGCTTGCTCCCTCTCTCCTCCACTTGCACACCAAGGAAAGGCCCTGTAAGGACATAGCAAGACTGCTGTCTGCAACCAAAGGAGAGAGCCAAAGCCCTCACCAGACATCAGTCCTGCCAGCACCTTGATCTTGGGCTTCCAGTCTCCAGCACTGTGAGAAATAAATTCCTTTTGTTTAAGCCATCCGGTCTATGGTATTTTGTTATGACAGCCCAAGCTGACTAGACATCTTGCGCGTAGGTGTGAAGCCTGAAACAGGAGCAGCCACTTAATATCCCCTGAAGAAAGTCAGCCTGAGGATGGAGCCGTCTGGAGCAGAGCAGAGCTCCCAGGGAAATGGAAATAATATCCTAATGATATCACATCTAATCCCACTTGAAGTTTGGGTTTCTTTCACACGAAAATAAAACCTCCTAGCTTGTAGAAATTATATATGCATAAGGATAAAGGCTGAAAGAGAATAAGAAAACATGAAAACTGATTGAATTTTGAAAGTAGAGAAATTGGTGGGTTTTTTCTTTAATTTCTAAATCGGATTACCTTCATTAAGGCTTTACAGAAGATCAGGCGTATGCATTATCTCATTTAATCTCCATTTTACAAGGAGAAATGTAGTTTTACTGTTGTTTGTTCTATAAATAAAAACTTACACAACTATAACTGAACTATTTAAAAATAAGACTACTTTACCTGCTCCTAGAAACCATCCTCCCATAGAATATAATAGTACAAAGGTTGGTTAGTACAAAAGAATCACGATCTACAATTCTTGGAGGACAAGTGGACAATCTCTTACCCAAACAAGTTTCCAAAGGAAAGGTAGCTCCAGCTGAACCCAACATAAAAATCATTTAATCTTGCCTTCTATTACAGTAGCATCAGTATGGTGCATAGAGAAGGTGACTATAACACTAGGGACGCAGTAAGGATTCAATAAATATTTGTTGAATTTTATGAACAACGATGCAGTTAATCCTTTGCAATGTATGCCATTCTTTTAATAGTGTTTATTCAAATGCTTCTGTTGAAAGTTTCGATTTGAACATCACAGCATGGAAATGCTAGCACTTATACTCTACTGAACAATCCAGATCAAACCACATCTCATGACTACGTCTAAAAACATTGTGCTAGGCCGGACGCTGTGGCTCACGCCTGTAATCCTAGCACTCTGGGAGGCCGAGGCGTGTGGATTACTTGAGGTCAGGAGTTCGAAACCAGCCTGAGCAAGAGTGAGACCCGTCTCTACTATAAATAGAAAGAAATTAATTGGCCAACTAATATATATAGAAAAAATTAGCCGGGCATGGTGGCGCATGCCTGTAGTCCCAGCTACTTGGGAGGCTGAGGCAGCAGAATTGCTTGAGCCCAGGAGTTTGAGGTTGCTGTGAGCTAGGCTGAGGCTATGACACTCACTCTAGCCTGGGCAACAAAGCGAGATTCTGTCTCAAAAAAAAAGAAAAAAAGAAAGAAAGGAAAACATTGTGCTAAACACCTTCTGTTCACCACTCCAGACCCATGCTCCACCCTTCTCCACCCTGATGACCATTATGGACCATATGGACAGCCTTCCAGTTGGGTCTGGCCAAGGGAGAGGCCAGGCAATAGACAAAAGAGAAGAGAATAAAGTCAGGATAGTTATTCCAATGGCTTCCCCTGGAGCGTCACCGCAGGCTGGCTGCCTCCTCCCATCAGCCTGTTGCATGTGGCCTGACCCATCTCCAGTTCCAGGAGCCACTGTCCCCCATCCCCCCCGGGCCCCTTCAGGCCTGGGGGTGGTAGGAAGAGACTCCTAAATATCCTCTACTATTTCTAGCCCTTGCATGCCACATAATCATTTGTGATTCTGGTCTACACTTATGTAAATAATCCCTTTATTGAATTCACTAGAAATTATCCAATTATGAAATAACATTTGATTTTGGCAGGACTGCAACTAATACAAACATGGTGCCCAACTGATTGTGTAAGGAAACCTGAGATCAGGAAGGATATAGA